GGCAAGACAGTGATGGAGTGAATGATTACGAAAGTTTTTCTTTTTTGGGCTGCCCTACCTTAGTGAGAGACAGCCAGGCGTGATTAATAAAAAATTATGGGGAGCACTAAACCTGTAGGGAATTGTCCAGCACCAGAATGGAAGCATAGGGTAGAAGAACAGATTATTATAATCAAAAGAATGTAACAGAACAAAGCCCCCTCACCGCATCAAGATGCTTCAATACCAAATTAAAGTTTTTTCCTGTTGCAAGTAGTCTTGGTTCTTTGGCTTGCTTATTCCACCTAATTCTTTCATACTATATATTTCGTGTATTTTTATTCAACCCTCATGAACACTTTGATTATATTTTCCATTTTTATTAATCAATTTTGAGTTAAGAATTTCATTGACATGTTTGTGGTAATTCACATGTGTGTTGGACAAACATTGGTTTAAGATGCAATTTATGCTCAAAATGCATTTACTTTAGTTTCTTGGCAGTTTTCTTCCAGATAAATATTTTTTGAATCTTAGGTTAAGTCTCAGGCAAGACGTGATGGAAATGAAAGTGTTTTCTTCTCTTTTCAGGCAACGTGGCCCCTCATGGGAAGCGGCCGATGTTAAATAAAAACTACTATCTCTTTCACATCCACCACATGAACTTTGTTGAAAAATCCTTGTATTGTTAGTGTTTTTGTCTCAACATCACAAACAATACAAGGATGACATCACAATTGCTTATTGGCTCGGGTACAAAAAATTGTGATCTTAGAGGTGATGTTTACATGTATGGATAATTATATCTGCTCCTAAGATAGAGATAAATAGTATAAAAAACATGATGGAGAAATCGAAATGCAGAGTAAATGCGATCCTTTAACAACTCTGTTTCCCCCACACAGTTGGACTTTATCCAGTTACAACACATATAAATAAAGCCCACAGTGTCACACACACATCTGATAAAGCCAGGTTTATTTTGGTCACAAACACATCTTGATAAAGCCACAGTGTCACAAAAACATCTTGATAAAGCCAAAGTCACAAACACAACTGGATAAGCCACTGTGTCACAAATACATCTTTGATAAAGCCACAGTATCACAAACACATCTTGATAAAGCCAGCAGTGTCACAAACAAACTTGAAAAAGTGTCACAAACACATCTTGACAGCCACAGTGTCATAAACACATCTTGATAAAGCCCACAGTGGTCACAGACACATCTTGAATAAAGCCACTGTGTTCACAAGCAATCTGAATAAAGAAACAGTGTCACAACACATCTTGACTAAAGCCACAGTTCACAAACACATCTTGAATAAAGCCAAAAGGTGGGAAAAAAAGGCAGTGTCCACAAATACACATCTTGATAAAGCACAGTGTCACAGACACATCTTGATAAAGCCACTGTGTCCCACAAGCACATCTTGATAAAGAAACAGTGTCCCACAAACACATCTTGATAAAGCCACAGTGTCACAAACACATCTTGATAAAGCAACAGTTTCACAAACACATCTTGAAAAAGCCACAGTGGTCACAAGCACATTTAGATAAAGCCCTGTGTCACAAAACCTCATCTTGATAAAGCCACTGTGTGTGTGTTAAACATAGTCAATAAAGGATCACATTATACTTTATTTGTGTCTAGTTTTCCATATTGCTTTACTTTGTCCTTTGGATGTATGGAAGTTTGTCATGGGATTCTCTCTGCAGTTTGTGATGATGATTATTGCAGTTTTATAATAAATGTTTAGGTGGTTGCAATCTCCCTGACATAATCAACATCACTGTTAATCACACCTCCATAATTTAATATTATCTAAAAATGATATTAAAATCTCTGGGCCCACTAGATCCACACTAACCAAAATAAAGTACTACAGTGGTACCTCGGGATACAACAGCTCAAAACTCGAACAATTATGCAAGTGTATTTATGTAAGCGCTTTTGTAAGTGTATTTTTGGGTCTTAATTGCCTTACATTATTCCTTAGAGAAACAAATTCGTTCAGTGTAATCGGCACTTGAACAGCCTTCTGGAATTAATTTTGTATCCCAAGGTACCACTGTACTGTACTATATTGTACATGTCTATACCATTAAACTATGACTTGTAAATGATAAATGTAATAGGTAACCTGGCTTTATACATCATTGTTCCATGCCTAAGACAACTGAACCACACTGCGTGCCATCATCTAAGCATAAGAAAAGAATTTTTCCTCTAAAAGTCATGCGTGCCATAAGAGGCTACTAAAATGCCATAGAAATTTTAAAATAAAAGAATAAAAAACAAGTGCGGCAGGGCAGGAAGGAAGCGAGGGTATCGGGTGGCAAAAGGGAGAGGTTTGAGTAATAGGTTACGGAGAACAGCGGGGCAGTGGATGGTGAAAAGGGTAGAGGGCAAAGAGACTTGAGGTAGAAAGGGCTGAGGGGAGTGTGAAAGGTGTCATTATCAAGTTTGTGGAGTAAATCATTCGTTGTCAAGAAGTCAATGAGAGAGTCGGATTAAAGGGGGTCCATCAGCAAGAAGGGAAGGTAAAGAGATTATTAGAGGGAGACGACTTTGGAGGTAATTCTGCGTGCCTTTGATAGAGAGGGCAGGTCAACAGAATGTGGCTAATCGATACTGGAACTTGACACTGCTCACAGAAAAGAACAGGAGGCCCTCTCCATAAGATACCCATGAGTAAGACGAGTGTGGCCAACCAAAGGGGGGAAAGAAAGTAGTCCCAACCTCGAGCTGATGAAAGAAGATGGCCATAACCTATGCGTGGTTTAAAAATAAAGGGTTTGTTACCCGAGAAAGTTACCAACGTAGTTGCCAATGGGTGAAAAGTTGAACTATTCCCAGCAAAAAAGTCCAAATGAACGCCTCTATATGAAATTTGTAGGATGAAATTTGGTAGGTTCAGGGTACTGCTGACTGCGCACAGTGTCCTGCCTGTTCATTGCCCTGTACATCAACATGACCAGGGACCCAAAAAAAAACAATATTTTTATGCTTGGTAGAGATACGAAATAGCCAAAGTTGGATATGGAGAACTAGGGGTGAGGTGTATCAAATTTCCTATAGCCTGTAGAGCACTAAGGGAGTCTGAGACAACCACAAATGATGATACAGGCATAGATGCAAACGAATAAGTGCTGCAAGAATGGCGTACAATTCAGCAGTAAAAATGCTACCCGAAGAAGGTAAATGCCCTCGCAGACGCTGTCCGAACACTGGTGCAAAATCCGACGCCGTCAGAAGACTTAGAGCCATCTGTGTACACTGCGATGGCATGAGAATGAGAGTGGAAGTGGTCAAGAAAAAGAGAGGGGGAAAGCCACCTAGGCAGTTGGGCTTTCGAGCAAGGGAGTGAGAAAGAACAGACCCAAACACTGGAGCTTCCCAGGGGGGGAAAGGGAAAAAAGTGAGATGCTACATGAACATATAAAGGTGGTAAATAAAGGGGAAGACAAAAACGAATGTGGGAAAAGAGAGAAGGACGGAGCAAACAGGGGCGGCGAAACAAATAAGTCTACTAAATATCGGTGACCATTCTAAAAATTGAAGGATTGCAGAGTTGTGAGAGCATCAGACAAGGATGGAACATTCGCTTCTGCATAGAGGCTCTCAAAGGAAAGAGCGAAAAGAAAAAAAGGGGAATAAATGTAATCCTTGGTGAGGGATGGGTTGGGGCTAGAGAGAGAGTAGCGGGAGAGGCCAATGAATAAAATCTGGTCACCATAATTGATTTTCGATAAAATGAGGGCGAATTAGGTGAAGGGGGTTCGACGATCAGCTCCCAGAAAGATGAAAAAAGGGTTTAAAAGGTTCAGCCGGCTGTGACAAGTTGCCTTCAGAGAGGTAACGTGAGGTTTCCAGGATAACCTACGGTCAAAGAGAAGGCCTAGAAACCTGACTATCACACTCAGGGATACGGGAAACCATAGAGGTACAAAGGGATGATCGGAGCTGACAGAGCATCTAGTGAAAGTAATTTGGTGAGTTTTGGTACTGGAAAATTTAAGCCCATGCATGGTGGTCCAATTGGAAACACGGTCGACCGCATGCTAGGTTACTTCTTTCTTTTTGTTTTTAAGAAAAAAAAAAAATAAAAAGAAAAAAAGAAAAAAGGGGAACAGGGAGGAATAGTTCCTAGGAGGAATGAAAGGGCCGAAAATCACCCTCCGCGCCCAAGAAGACCTCAACACCACAAGTATTGCAGATGCGGCATGGAACCCGTGCCATACCCTACCTTTCATGCCAGTAAACCAGCAATCCAGGATAGCAACCTCATCTGCCGAGCTACCTCAGTGGAACAAAGAGAGGGCGGCCGGATATTTGCCACAAAGCATACCTCCTTTGGCCACCACCCCCGGAATCCAAAAGGCGGCCTCCAGAGATACACCCGTCACCCAAAAGACACCCAAAGCCACCCCCCAGAAGACCAGAGAGGGAAATGGATATCCCCAGGCGATCCAGATTCCACGGCAAACTACACCACCACAAGAACCTCAACGGAATGAGATTGACCCTGGTACCCTTCCCCCTACCTAGGAACCAGTAGGCCTGTGGAAAGAATCCCAAAGGCCAAAAAGAGGAAGGGAATAAGGGAGGGACGGGGGGAGGAGGAGGAAAGGAAAAAGGGGAGGATGGGATAGGGAAGGGGGGATTGGGGGGTAATTAGGTTCGGTCTGAGGAAGGAGACCAACAGGTCTAATTCCTCAGACCAAGAGCCTCTTCACCATGCCAAGGAGCCCCCCTTGAAGAGGAATGCCAGTAGCAAGGGGCTAGTAACCCCTTCTCCTGTATACATCACTAAATATAAAAAAAAGACCTGTTTTTCTTTTTAGGTCACCCTGCCTCAGTGGGATATGGCTGACACATTGAAAAACTTCTGAAAATTGTGAGACCTTTACTCACTCTGCCCCGAGGTATCCCAGCAAAGCGGGGCACATCTCCTGTATTATCCCAGTGCTTAACAGAATAGGAATGGCATAAGAGGGTACAAATAAAAATGGGAACTATGGCTATAGTTTACTTAATAACATAAAGAGCGAGAATACAACATATCCTGATGGAAAATTACACAACTGACCTATGAGACTTATTACCAGGGAAGGGAGATGTTATCAGTAACACAGACTTGTACTCACTCTTAATTCACCGACCAGCTGACCCAAGATTCGCAATGCGTGGTCCACTACACACACAGCTGTCCAGGGCTCCCATTCACCAGACCTGTCACCAACCTCCCTCTCTAGCTGTTTCCTTGAGCTTATATGGTCCTTAAAGCACCCCCCTTCCCCACAAGGCATAGACCACATGTTACAACCTGACACCAGTTCAAGAATAAAAAACCTGACTTAAGCCAAGAGGCATGTCTGACAACTATTTGCCAAGGCAAGGTGTGTGACAATTTACTGGAGTTAGGTCTCCCTTGGTGACCTCACAAGCACAACATCACAAAATGGCACTGATTGTACAATTATATAACACTGAATTATGAGAAAGGCATAAATATACTGTTATTCGTTACCTATATGAATTCAGAGATATAGTGTCATGTTGATGCCAGTAAAGCTTAATATATTGGGAAGATCCTCATCCTTCACATTTATACACATTATCATGCACACAACTGTGTGGCTAAATAAATACATCATTGATTATCCAGCAATTGGTCATCTGAAGTTCAAAACTGTGCAGCAGTCTTTTTAATACAGAGACCTGAAAAATAATCCAGAAAAACAATATATTTTTTTTTACATATCAGTTGTCTCCCACCATGATGGGGCAATGAAATAAAAGAGGAAAGACATTCACCATCATTCATTCAATAGCTGTCTTGTCAGAAGCAATGTAACATCACAGTTAATGTGACCCTTTGAACTGTAAACATCCTCACCCATCCTTCAGAGTGCAGGTACTGTACTTCCCACCTCCAGGAAATGTAACATCCTCACCCATCCTTCAGAGTGCAGGTACTGTACTTCCCACCTCCAGGACTGTAACATCCTCACCCATCCTTCAGAGTGCAGGTACTGTACTTCCCACCTCCAGAACTGTAACATCCTCACCCATCCTTCAGAGTGCAGGTACTGTACTTCCCACCTCCAGAACTGTAACATCCTCACCCATCCTTCAGAGTGCAGGTACTGTACTTCCCACCTCCAGACTGTAACATCCTCACTCCATCCTTCAGAGTGCAGGTACTGTACTTCCCCTCCAGAACTGTAACATCCTCACCCATCCTTCAGAGTGCAGGTACTGTACTTCCCACCTCCAGGACTGTAACATCCTCACCCATCCTTCAGAGTGCAGGTACTGTACTTCCCACCTCCAGGACTGTAACATCCTCACCCATCCTTCAGAGTGCAGGTACTGTACTTCCCACCTCCAGAACTGTAACATCCTCACCCATCCTTCAGAGTGCAGGTACTGTACTTTCCACCTCCAGAACTGTAACATCCTCACCCATCCTTCAGAGTGCAGGTACTGTACTTCCCACCTCCAGAACTCAAAGTCCCACTAACCAGGTTCTCTGAATCCCCTGATTAATCCTATTTTGCTAACACTAACAACACCAGAACATCAAAAAAAAAAAAATGATGTAACTATCGTGTTTTTGACTCTTGTTCAACCCCAGCCAAGGATGCTGCATAATCGAAGATCTATTCTTCATTTGATCTTGTATACAAACCATCTAGCAGACAATAACCTTTGTCTGTTTGACGTGAGGACACGGGAGCTGTGGCTACAATACTCCAGAGATGAACATCCTAGCCAGGAAAATTGTTAGTTATGGAAAATGCTGAATCTGTAGAGATCATTTGAGTATAACCAATCCAGGTGGTGTATAACCAAGCCAGGTGGTGTATAACCAAGCCAGGTGGTGTATAACCAAGCCAGGTGGTGTACAACCAACCCAGGTGGTGTACTACCAAGCCAGGTGGTGTATAGCCCAGCCAGGTATTTTATAGCCCAGCCAGGTGTTGTATAGCTCAGCCAGGTGTTGCACAACCAAGCCAGATATTGCATAAGCAAACCAGGTATTGCATAACAAAGTCAGGTGTTGCATAACCAAGCCAGGTGTTGTATAACCCTACAGCATTTACAAATATACGTAAACCACAAACAATAAATACATCATTCTCCTTTTTAACTTTGAATATGTGTAATGGGAGTTCATAGGAGATATGATGATTGGAGTAAAACACACTTGTTGGATGGTAACACTTATATTAGCAGAGTATGAAGGGGGAGAGCCCAACCTGCTGTGTCTTGCCTGGCATAGACCTATGCGGGAACTGAGGCCGATGCAGCACAGCCCACGCACTCATGCGGGATCACGTGATGTCATACAAAGTAGTCACTAGGCCTAGCAAAGGGGTCGTGTATGTAAAACATATGGATGGTACTAACTATGATACTCAGATAAGCTATACAACACATATAGGGGATCAGCAACTATGCTGACATATGTACAAAAAAAATTCCTGTGATAAAATGTAAAGTGTGGTCAAACACATGTACTAGAGCAGTATTCCTGCAATAAATGTAAAGTGTGGTCAAACACATGTACTAGAGCAGTATTCCTGCAATAAATGGCTATTCTTTTTTTCAAAATTTACCAAAACACAACAGGTGCGCCTAAACCAAAACAATGGTTTACCGGGGATTTTTTTCAACTTTACGATGGTGGGGCAAAAATTTTATGTGGAGGGGGAAAACTTGAGATAATTACTCAATATGAACAACAAGCCCATAATTTTGTATTCTTTTTACTGACTTTTCAATACGGGTTTTTTAGTTTTAATTTTATTATTCAGTGACAGGGGGTTATTTATTGACTTTTTTTTACCAAATCATTTCTTTATTTAAACAAAATTTTTTTCGAGGGTTTTTTTGGGGAACAAACCCCAGGCCGGGTCGGGTCCCAAAATGAAACAAAAAAAGGTTTTTTAAACAAATTCAAAATTACAGTGGACCCCCGCTTAAACTTTCACCTCCCAATGGACCAAAAAGAAAGTGTATTTATTAAGTTTTGAACGTGTAGTTTGGGGGCCCCTGAAAGGGGCAAATTTCTACTTCACAATATTCCTTAGGGAAACAAATTCGGTCATACTGGCACCGAACATATTTCTGGAATAAAAAAATATCTTTAACCTGGGGCCCAAACGTTTTCCATTCTTATGAGATGAAAAAAGTTATTAATCTTTAAAACAACAAAAAAATAAACCCACAAACATTTTTTAAAACAAAAATTAACAAAGTGATTTTTCCCAAAAACATAAGATTTTTCACAAGGAAAAGCCATTCACCCCTTTAATAATCCAGCCTGACAGACTTACATTCAAGTCTTTGGGGAAGCTCAAACTCGAACGATTATACGCACCTGAGAAACAACAAATAAATTTTTTTAAATAAAAGGGATGATTCAGAAAAAAAAAACAAAAGCAAAAAGGCAGGGTGCCCCCAAAAAAGAAACACTTTGCCCATCTTTCCCACACCATCACTGTTTTGTCAAAACACCCCAAAACCCACATCCTTAATATTAAGTACTATTTCAACTTTTCCTTTTTAGACCCCTTTGGGTTTAAACCTTTAAAGCTCCCTTTAAATAAAAAAAACCCTATAAAAACAAGGAAAAAGTAATTACAAAACCTTTTTCCCCTAAAGTACACTAATTTAAAATTTACTTTTACAAAAAATTTTTCTACTATTAGAAAACACTTTTTTGTAAACAAAAATACTAAACAATAATAAACAAAAATTTCGAAAACTGATTAAAAATTTTGGGAAAAGGAAATATTTGCGAGCATTTGTTTCATCGTGTACTTTTAAGGCCCCCAGGAGGGCCCCCTTTTTTAATTTACTTTATAATGGTCCAAGTGTACCTTTGTCATATAAGGGGTAAAAATGATGTCCCTTGTAAAGCAATTTTAAAAAAAGGAAACGGGATTTTCATTTGGGGGGTTTCACTGATGTAAAAAAGAAAGAGTAGGGGAACCTAGCACAAAAAAAACCGAACCCCCCAAACAAAAAACAACTACGGGCTGGTACTGGAAGTCAGCCATTTAAAAAATACATACAAATGTTTTCCCCTAAAAAAAAATTTTATGTAAGTGAGAGAGTGTCCCCCTGACCCCAAAATGCTCTTTTTTTTGGGGGCCCCAATTTTTTTATTGTGGCCTACTGTTCAAATGCTTTCTGTGGGTCTAAAAGAGCCCCGAGGATATTCATTTTTTTTCAGTCGCTGTTTTAAGAAATTTCGAGCATCTGAAAAATTTGGGATCTTTTGTGCTTTTATTCAGGCCCAAAACCCCAAAACTGGAAAAGGGTTTTTGTATGAAAAGGGTATTATGGTTATAAAGAAATTTTTGTTTTTTGGATTTTTTTTTTTCGAAGTTTCAGAAGCAAAGGAGGGGTTTAGATTTTTTATTTTTGAAATTATTTAGTTCGTAAATAAAAAGAAAAAATAGTATTTTGAGGGACCATGCGGGTTCCTTGAGTAGGGATGGCAAGGGTAAACCCCCCGATCCTCAAAAGAGACAATCCTGCAGAACAAAATAACTACAGACCAAAAATTGAACTTCCCTTTTGCCTCTAAAATCTTAAAAAAAAATAGTACATAAACAAATCTTTTCCCTACCTCCAAACCCAAAACCCATACTGAACCCCTGCCATTTTTGGGTTTAGGCTGAAAAAAAAGCACGATTTTAGATACTGGGCTGTTTTTAACCTCATTTTTAATAAAAAGGTAAATGAACTTAATTACGAAAAAAAAAAAAGAAAATTTTTGATTTTATCAAAAATTAAATTGCATAAAAAATTGTACCCCTTAAATACATTAATAACAGAGTAAATATAAATTTTTGTTATTCTACCACTTTAAAAGAACAAATTTACGAACTTAAAAAATGTAAGATTGAAAAAATAAATTTTGTCTACCTCAGATGCTCGAATTACTTTTATATTTAAAGAAAAACTGAAAAAATGAATATCCCTGGGGCCTTCACAAAACCTAAGGAAACCCATTTAAATACAGTAGATCCCCAAAAACTAAAACAAAACAAAATAAAACCCTGTAAAGGGCAAACAAACAATGCTATATAATTGTCAGGGGACTACTAAAAGTCCCGTGGACGCTCAGTTAACGGGCCCAAATAAAACCTAATGGCAAAATCTTTTGGGCGACTTTTTGAAATCAAAATACGGGCTCGGCTAACCCCCAAAACTGGGTTTAAAAGGGCATTCGTCCCAAACGTGCCCCCCCGGGGCCCCTAGCCCGGCCCCCCGTCCACTCCATGTAGGGGGTGCCATTGTTTACAAGCCAGTGAGGTTTGATTCCACGCGTACTTGTGAAAAATATTTTGTTTTTTATTCCATTTTTTGTTAGTGCTTGTAACGCTAAATAGGCCACCATGGGGCCCAAAGAAAGCTTCTAGTGCCAGCCCTTGGTAAAGAAGGAAAAAAGCAAAACCCCAGAATTCAAGAAAAAAACTCATAGCAAAGTAAACCCAAAATAGAGGGAAGGGAAAGAGGGGAGAAAGTTCCTTCCCCAGTGATTTTACGATAAAGTACATACTAAAGCAGCACGTATTTGAAAATAAAGTGGTAAAGGATTAATTTAAAAGTGTAGGCAACTAAGTTAAGCAGGGAAGCGACAGAAAAACGATACGAAAGTAACTCTCCAATGTTTTGGATGGTTTTAGGAAACCGCTGAAAATATGCCCCCCCTGCTAAAATGTTTTCCCCCACCCTAAACCCCCTGCCGCTCTCCTCCACCCAAAAAACTAATTAAAATAACAATTTCCCCCAAAGGGAAGTAAAAAAAGGGAATCTTTCTTTCTCCTTTCAACACACCGGCCGTATCCCCCCGGGCGGGGTGGCCCCCAAAAGGAAAAAAAAAAGTTTTTTCCTTTCAAATTTAGGGAATACAGTGGTCCCTCAATAACGTCCATAAAACCCCTTCCGGAAGTGGGACTATTATGAAATGGGCGAATTTTTGAATCAATTTTCCCCATAAGAAAAAAATGTAAATCCAAATTAAATTTGTTCCAGACACCCAGAAGTATCAAAAAACAATTTTTTTTTTTTTCCCCAAAAATAGATAAAACATGCACAAAAAAGAACATTCAACATGACAGGGTTTTCCTTTTTTTGAAGGCTGTTGTTGGGGAATGAAACAAAGGGGGGAGGAGAGAAAGGGGAAAAGAGGTTATTTGGGAAAGGGGAAACCCCCCCCATAAGGACTCTAGGGGGACTAATAAAATTAAATGAACATTTTAATAGGGGTAGTTTTATGAGTGGAACGTTGCCTAGTAGGGGATCGAAGCAAAACATTGGGTAGTTTCAAATTTGGTTGGGTAAATACAAAATGGAGAGGGGTTGGATTTGAGTCGACTTCACCTGAGCTTAATTAGGGGGCATTTGTTTTTGTTAGTGGGGTTTTTTTTGTGAAGGGGCCCCCGGGCCAGTATGGCCCAAAAGGGTTATTGCAGGGGTTCCTCCCTTTTCCCAAAGTTCTAAAACTATGGTTGGGTATTTCAAAAATTTTGGTTTTGGGTAAAAAACACGAATGAGAAAGGGGGGGGATTTGAGTCGGACTTGCACCTGACTTATTGTTTGGGTACAATTTTTTTCTGTTAGGGGTTGGATTTGTGAAGGACCCCGGGCCCAATTTGGGCCACAGGCCTGTTCCAGTTTTCCCACTTTCTTAAGTTCTTATTTAACATCCCACTTTTCCATAGGGTGATCGAGGCAGGGCCCTTTGGGGACTTCAAGAAGAGATTGGGCAAATATACGGTTTTGGGGGAGCCGGTTTGATTTGTCATTGGGTACGGGGGGTAAAAATTTTTGGGGAGCTTTTTGGGGGAATCAATTTTTATAAGGGCCTGCCCCTTTTATGGGGGTAGACCTTTCATTTTTTTTCCATTGTTTTGTTCTTATTGGGTATTTGTTTGTGTGAGGGGGGGATGGCAAGTTTTTTGTTGGAAAATAAAGACACTAATATCAACTCTAAGGCTTAAATTTTTCTATCCCCAATTCAATAATATGGGCATAAAAAAAACAATATTAAAAAACATAGAAACGTGGAATATTTCCTGAATAATAAAAAAAGTCATTACAAAATTTTCACGGAAAAGGTTTTTGTGTTTGTTTGTTGTTGGGGGATATAAGGGCCCCCTGAGGAAGGGGGGGCCAAAAAAAGGGGGGGAGGGGGCGGGGTTTTTTTTAAGCCCAAATAACTCCAACAAATTGGGGGAGTTTTGGGAGAATCGCTGAATCACTAAAGAAGGACCTTACCACCATCCTCGCCCCTTCTACACTATTACAACTGTTCCACCATAACTATACCTTTCTACTACAAAGAAAGTTTTAGTGCCAGCTCTTTGGTAAAGAATGTGAGAAACACATAATTTTAGGGGAAAAAGTTTGTAGAAAAATTACAAAGAGGTGGTGGTAGAGTGGAAGTTGTGTTTGTGGTTGATGAAATTAAGAAAGGAGGATCATGCAGCACTATTGGCTTTGTCGGAGGTCCTTTTACAATTCATCCACTACAAAATATTTTCCAACCAGTTCAATGCTCCCAAGAAATAAGCTTGATAACTCTATCACTCATTTGGGATTGTAATGAGTGATAGAGTTATCAGAGCTTATTTTTTTGGGGTAGCATTGAGGACGGGTTGGGAAAATGTTTCGTTAGTGGGATGAATTGTAAAGGACCTGCCAAGCTTGGCCAACAGGCGCTGCAGTGATCCCCTTTTTTTTTTCACAACACTATCAAAAACTGCTTCCACTCTACCACCATAATCTTTGTATTTTTTAAAAACTTTTTCATAAATTTGGGGTTTTCACTTCTTTACCAAAGGGCTGAACTGAAGCTTATTGGAGCCATGGAGTTATTAGCACTTGCAAGCACTAAAATCAATGGATTTTTATGAAAATATTTCATGGAGCATGTGAGGGGACCGGTCACTCATTGGTAAAAATTGGCACACTGGCTGGGAAGGAAAGGCGGGGCGCTCAGAGCGTGCGTTGCATCCGGGACGAGGACTATTGGGGACTATTAGCGATTTTACCGGACCATTTCGAGCCTATTTGACGAAAAAAACAGGACTATTTCGGAAATGGACGACTTTCGCGGATCGTTTATTGAGGGACCACTGTATATAAGGAGAAGGGGTTACTAGCCTTGTCCGCATTTTATGTCCTCTTAAAACCCACCATGGCTTCGGGGAAGAATTCTGTTCCCCACTTCACATGGAGAAAGAGGAATAAAACAAAACAAGAACTAGAAGAAAATAGAGAAAACCCGAGGGGTAATGTTTATATACGCTTTTACATGTATGTGTAGTGTAAACCTAAATGTAAGTAGAAGTAACAAGATGTACTGAATCTTCATGTTCATGAGACAAAAAAAGGACCCGAACCCTACCATATGTAAAAAATTACAGGCTTTCGTTTTACACTCACTGCGGACGGTAGTACTCCCTGGGCGGTTGTGTCTACAACCTACTACCTAGGATAAAGGTAAATATAAGTGTAAATATAAAAGAACCCAATGGAAATAACTAAGTCATGACTTTTTTGGGTTTATCTAGGTACTTTAAACACTTTGGTGTATGTATGAAAATCTATGTACGTAACTATTTGTGTATGCCTGAATAACTTATTTATAAATTACAATGTAAATATTTCTTATTAAAAAATTAAAATGTAAATATTTTTATTTATAAATTTGTACATTAGTGTGATAGTGGTGGTGGGTTCTGCTGCCGCTCACCTCCACTACCATATGTACGGTTTCTTCAGTGGCCATTATAAACCCAAAAAACACTTCCACCACTTACTCCTCAATACATTATGACATATTTTATTCATGTTAGAAAATATATTCATGTTTCTATGTTATTAATAGTGTTTATTATGTCATATTAGTTTAATTGTGATAGATAAAAAAGCCCAGAGTTTGATAGAGATCATACTAAAGCATAATAAACTCGCCTTCCTCTCCCTCCCCCTGGCTTCCATACCCCAGTGTGATGTTAAATGTTCTTTATCCATTTTATTAGGTTTTATATTTATATGTCATTGTTTTTTGTATTTATATTTAATTTTTAAAAACAATATTTTTTTGTTAATACTTTTGGCTGTCTGAAACAATCAAGAAAAACTGTTCTTATGAACAGAAAATGACCTTATGATAAGAAAATTTAAATTTTGGGGAGCAGGAAATAAGCTTGTATGCAGGCAATGCTTTTGAGGGCAATGACAAAGTTTTCCTGAAATTTTTCCTGGAGAGAAAACTCTGGGTTCAACACCCCGTGGCCCAGCCCGTGACCAGGCCTCAGGGTGGATCATGGCCTGATCACCAATGCTGTTACTGCTGGCTGCACGCACTCCAACATACGAACTACAGCCTGGCTGGTCAGGTACTGACTTTAGGTGCCTGTCCAGTGCCTGCTTGAAGACAGTCAGGGGTCTATTGGTAATCTCCCCTTTTGTATGCTGGGGGGGACAGTTGAACAGACTTGGCCCCTAACACTTATTGTGTTGTTTTTTAACATGCTAGTGACACCCCTGCTTTTCATTGGGGGGATGTTGCATCATCTGCCGAGTCTTTTGCTTTCGTAGGGAGTGATTTTCTTGTGCAAGTTTGGTACTAATCCCTCTAGGATTTTCCGAGTGTATATAATTATGTAGCTCTCTCGCCTGTGTTCGAGGGAGTACAGGTTTAGGAACTTGAACCTTCCCAGTAATTGAGGTGTTTTATCTCCATTATGCTCTGTACATTTTCTAGGTCAGCAATTTCACCTGCCTTGAAAGGTGCTATTAGTGTGCAGCAATATTCCAGCCTAGATAGAACTAGTGACCTGAAGAGTGTCATGTGAGCAGGACCTTGTAAGCAGGACAATGACCATTGTAAGCAAAAAATACTGACCTTGTGAGCAAAGACAGAGATGCATCTCTCAGTATGTTCTTCATATTCGACAGCATCCTACTGTCCACTGTCTTTACGAGCCAAGTGATAGCGACGTCTCGCCTCACAAGAGTAAATCTTGTTGGTCGCTGCTCACAGGAAGAAAATAACCAAGTCACCCAGGAGAAATAAACATGGCATGGTTTATAACCAGTTAGTGATGGAAGTTTGAGCCTTCACCCAGTAATCCAACTGGTGTGGGTCGCATCCTGAGGACAAAATTACTGTTTTTTCACAACTTTGATTTGTTTTATTTCAATGGTTCAGCATGGATTTTAACTGGGGGGCTACAGCCCACCCACACCCCAAAATAACAAAAAAGGCCCCAATACTGTGACTGGAACGATACACAAATTAACCCGCTCCCGTCACTGACCATCAGTTTATAGGATGCAGGGTGGTTTTAGAGAATTTTATGGAAAAAAAATGGTTAATAAGCCGCAAATGCAGTAATCCAAGTTGCAGGAAATGCTCTGATAACAAGGGATTTTCTATATACATAGTTAGTATGTCATGATGTCAGCTATGGTCTGTTACCTTGTCCAGTTAGTCCTTGACTTACAAACACATTGAGAATCTTGTGTATCATATTTATTACAGGAGGCCCTCCATATTCACGAGGGTTGGGGATCAAAAAACCCCCGAATCTTAAAAAATTCCCAAAAGCTTGGTGCATATATATGATGTAGGGAAAATTTTACTAAACTGTAGTGTTTGCTAATGTTTTGTGTGCCCAAAAATTTTTGCAGTGAAATACAATAATAGCATTTACTTAGCCTAACAATATTGCTTCCTTAACCTATGAACCAGAACAATCATAAAACACATGAAAACTTCATAAAATATTGTAAAAAGAGAGCAAATGAGAGAATGGGTGAGATGTTATCAAAAAATTTTGTTGAAAATAAGAAAAAGTTTTGGAGTGAGATTAACCAAGTTAAGGAAGCCTAGAGAACAAATGGATTTGTCAGTAAAATAGGAGAGGAGAGTTATTAATGAGAGTTAGAGGTATTGGGAAGATGGAGGGAATATTTTGAAGAATTGTTAAATGTTGATGAAGATAGGGAAGCTGTGATTTCGTGTTTTAGGGCAAGGAGGAATAACATCTTGTAGGGTGAGGAAGAGCCAGTTGTGAGTGTGGGGGAAGTTCATGAGGCAGTAGGTAAAATAAAAGGGGGGTAAGGCAGCCGGGATTGATGGGAAAAAGATAGAAATTTTTTAAAAGCAGGTGGGGATATAGTTTTGGAGTGGTTGGTGCAATTATTTAAAAAAATGTATGGAAGAGGGTAAGGTACTAGGGATTGGCAGAGAGCATGCATAGTTCCTTTGTATAAAGGCAAAGGGGACAAAAGAGAGTGCAAAAATTATAGGGGAAGAAGTCTGTTGAGTTACCTGGTAAAGTGTACGGTAGATTTTATTATAAAAGAATTAAGAGTAAGACGGAAAATAGGATAGCAGATGAACAAGGAGGCTTTAGGAAAGGTAGGGGGTGTATGGACCAGGTGTTACAGTGAAACATATAAGTGAACAGTATTTAAATAAGGCTTAAAAAGGTTTTTGTGGCATTTATGGATTTGGGAAAAAACATATGACAGGGTGGATGGGGGGCAATGTTGCAGGTGTATTTGGGGTAGGAGGTAGGTTACTGAAAGCAGTGAAGAGTTTTTACGAGGATAGTGAGGCTCCCAAATTAAAGTATGTAGGAAAGAGGGAGATTATTTCCCAGTAAAAGTAGGCCTTAGACAAGGATGTTTTGATGTCAAACCCTGGTTGTTTAATATATTTATAGATGGGGTTGTGAGAGAAGTAATGCGAGGGTTTTTGGCAAGAGGCGTGGAGTTAAAAGATAAGAATCACACATAAAGTGGGAGTTGCACAGTTGCTCCTTTGCTGATGACACTGTGCTCTTGGGAGATTCGAAGAGAAGTTGCAGAGTTGGTGGGTGATCTGGTAGGGTATGCAAAAGAAGAAAATTAAAAGTGAATACAGGAAAGAGTAAGGTTATGAGGATAACAAAAAGATTAGGTGATTGGAAAGATTGAATATCAGTTTGGAGGGAGAGAGTATGGAGGAGGTGAATGTATTCAGATATTTGGGGTGGACGTGTCAGCGGATGGGTCTATGAAAGATGAGGTGAATCATAGAATTGATGGGGGAAAAGGGTGAGCGGTGCACTTAGGAGTCTGGGGGAGACAAGAACTTTGTCCCTTTGGGGGCAAAGAGGGGGAAAGTATGAGAGTATAGTTTTACCAACGCTTTTATGGGGTGTGAAGCATTTGTGATGAATGTTGCAGCGAGGAGAAAGGGTGGAGGCAGTGGAGATGTCATGTCTGAGAGCAATGTGTGGTTTGAAAATAATGCAGAGAATTGGGTTTTTGGAAGTAAGGGAGGTGGGGGTTTCCCAAAAAAACTGTTGTCCAAGGGCTGGGGAAAGGGTTGTTGAGGTGGTTTGGCATGGGGAGAAATGGAGGGGAAACAGAATAATTTTCAAGAGTGTTCATCTTTGGTGGAAGGAAGGCGGGGTAGGGGTCGGCCTAAAAAGGGTTGGAGGGGGGGGGGTAAAGGGGTTTTTGTGTGCGGGGGGCGGGGACTCCCAGCGGGAAATGGTGAGCGTGTTTATAGGAGGAATAGAGACAAAGGGTTTTTTTAATACTTAAATTTCTTTTGGGAGTTTTAAGAAAAGAAAACATTTATAAAGGGGGTTTTCGGGGAAAACCCGGGGCAGGCCGGACTTGAGTCCTGGAGAGGGGAAGTACGGGTGTCTGCACTCTAAAAGGAGGGGTTTTAATGTTGCATTTTAAAAAAAACTGAAAGGGTAAAGAAACCCCTTTCTGGAAAGACATGATGGAGTTAAGGGATTGGGGGTGAAAGTTTTTTTTTTTTTTGGGCCACCCCCCTTTGGGGGGGGAATCGGCCATTGGGGGTTAATAAAATTTAAAATAAAAAAAATGTTATGTTTTGGGGGCTGGGCTTTTCCCGGAATTTTTGAAGCTCGGGGAAAGGGGGGAGGGCTAGCTGCATTGTGAATATAAAATTATTTACAAAACAAACAAGAAAGGGCCCCCAAATGTGTTCTAAGTTGAAGACTTCCTCGGGTGGCAAAAGCCCCGTTCACCCCCACGGGGGGGCCCCCGGGTTGGGGTTTCCCGGGGGGGTGGAAACTTTTTAACACGTTTCCTTACACCTGTTTTCCTTTTCACCTAGCAGAAAATAGGTCCGGGGTTTTTAGCCCGGATTGGGGGGGGTCGAAATTCCTGGGGGAAAAATTAAGGACCCCAATGGAAAAAAAGTTAAAACAGTCCTCGATGACGCCCTGACTTTTTTGGGGTTTACCCGGGTGGGCTAACCCCCCGGGGGGTTTTTAAAAACCCGAACAAAATTTTCTTATCTTTTTTATTTTATCTTATAAGAATTATGGGGGTTTTTTTAAAAGAAAAGGGTTTGGTTTCGAGGGGGGTTCATTAAAGCGTTTATGCCCTGGAGAAGAGGGGGAATTGCAGAGGTGAGAGAGGATTTTGGAGAGGTTAAAAAAAAAGTATGGGACCTTTGCCCAAAGTGAGGGGAAAAAATTTGTGGTAGGGGCCTTGAATGCTAAAGTAGGAAAAAACTTTTAGGGGGTGTGGTAGGAAATTTTTGGGGGGGCCAGGGGGAAAATGATAATGGACCCCTTTAATTGACTTTGAAATAGAAAGGGGTTTTAGTTATAGGTAATCCCATTTTTAAAAAAAAAGGGGATAAATAAGTATACACGATAGGAGGGAGGGCGAAATGACAGTAGTTTGTTGGGTTTATGTATTGGTAAAAAAAGACTTTGATTTAACCCTTCAGGATGTACATTTTTATAAGGGGCCCCACAGTATATCAACATTTTTTCTATTTTGTAGCTACACTGAGGGGAAAAAGGAAAGGGGGTACAAGGAAAATTTGAAGCATGGGAAGAGAGAGGTGAAGGTTTATAAACAAAAAAGAGGAGGCAGTTGGGGTAAGATAAAAAACCCGCTTTTGGAGGATGATGGGCTAAAGAGCTTTGGCAATGGGGGAAGAGGTAGGGGGTTGGGTTTTAAAAAAATTGTAGTGTTAGAGTTTTCAGCAAATTTTGGGGTTTAAACAGGAAATTGGGTGCAGGAGGGAAAGGAGCGGGGGGTGGAATGATGATGTAAAAAGAGTAAAAAGGGGGAGAAAAATTTTAGCATATGAGAATTTTTTTACAAAGTAAAAAGTAAAGCAAGGAGGGAAAGTATATGGAGAAAAAGAGAAAAGTTAAGAAAAAAGGGGGGTGAAGCAATTTTAAAAAGAAAAAAAATTTGAGAAGTGGGTGAGATGTTATAAAAACAAATTTTGTTGAAAAAAAGGGAAAAAGTTTTGGAGTGAGTTTAACAAGTAAAAAACCTAGAAACAAAGGGTTTTTGTCATTTAAAAAAATAGGAGAGGGGTTTATTAAATGGAGAGTTAACTTTTTTTGGGAAAAATTGGGGGAAAAATTTTTTAAAGGAATTTTTTAAATGTTGATGAAGTTGGGGAAGCTGTGATTTCGGTATAGGGAAAGGGGAGGAATAACATCTTGTGGAGTGGGAAGAGCCAGTTGTGAGTGGGGGGGAAGTTCGTGGGGGCAGTAGGTAAAATAAAAGGGGGGGAAGGGCAGCCCGGGATTGGGGGAAAAAATTAGTTTTTAAAAAAGCGGTGGGGATTTTAGTTTTGGGGTTGGTGCAATTTTTTAAAAAATGAGGGAAGAGGGAAGGCCCTGGGGGTTTGGCAGGGGAAATGCATAGTTCCTTTGTAAAAAGGGAAAAAGGGGGATAAAAAAGAGTGCAAAAATTTTAGGGGGAAAAAGTCGTTGAGGTCCGGAAAAGGTATGGTTGGTTATAATTGAAAGAAATTTAAAAGTAGACGGAAATAGGATAGCAGATAAAAAAGGGCTTTTTGGAAAGGTAGGGGGTGGGGGACCAGGTGTTTACAGTGAAAAAATTTTAAGGAAAAGGGTTTTTAAAAAGGCTAAAGAGGTCTTTGTGGGATTTAAGGATTTGGGAAAAAGGGGTTGACAGGGGGGATAGGGGGGGGAAAGGGGGAGATTTGCAAGTGTATGGTGTTGGGGTAGGTTATGAAAAAAGTGAAGGTTTTTCGAGGGTTTGTGAGGCTCAAGTTAAAAGTAAATTTTGGAAAGAGGGAAAAATTTTTTTTTGTAAAAAGTAGGGCCCTTTGACAAGGATGG